CTCTGCTAGGGACTTCACTGACAAGGTGCGACCCTGCTGAGCTCACAAGCTTGGGGAGTCACTGGCCTCTCCAGTGGACGAGAAGCCCAGTGGCCGCTGCCGTCCTGGAGTGGTCTGGGTAGCGGAATCTGTCACTGCCCAGACCAGCTGGAGTCCACCTGGCCACCCTGAACTCCCTGAAGGGTACAGCGTCACTGACCAATCACAGGAAGGTCACGAGTGCCACTGACCAAGCAGGGACTTGGATGTGGGTTGGTCATGTACCTCTTAGCCCAAAATTCAGTCTGCAAGAACCTTCAGCTTAATTCCTCGGAGTGGGAGCAGGAACTAGGCAGCAGCAGCCCGGCTCCTGGCTCCTGGCTCTCTGCTTTGCAACAAAGGCCTGCTTTCCTCACCTCCCCGATACCAGGGATTGGTTTTCTGCACCTCTGTGAGCTGACCCAGTTTGGGGATTCTGCGATAATGTCCCCAAGCAGTAAGTCCTTGAAAAACCCCACACCCAACGCGTTGGAAGTCTTATCTATTCGCACCAGAATGCTCTGTGCTCATTCAGTGCCGCAGCTCTTAGACTGGCGACACACACGCGTGTGAAATGAGTCTGTTAGGAAGCTGTCGTTCTGAAGGGCATGGAGGTGGTCTGGCCATTGGTCAGCAGTCGCGTGGCCACGTGGAAGACATAGCACGGGTCTCCATCCCAGCACTTCACGGGTGTTCTGGAAATAGAAGGAAATCCTGAAAGAGAGCTAGAGCAGTTGCAGCATGGTGGGGAATGAGTTATGCAGAAAACAAGAACAAAACTCGAAAGCTTGCTCCAGAGGACGGTCGTCTGAGATCTGCAGGAAGCGCATCCCGTGTGGGCAGGGCACAGGATGAACCCGTCCGCTCTGCCCCCGGCACCTGGCACACACGAGCGGCTACACCACCCAGCCTGGGCACCTCTTGTAAGAATGTGCGCCCTTGGGACCAGCGTGTTGGTTCAACTGAGTAATCCTCCCACCTCCAAGCACTGGCGTCCCACATAGGTGCCGGTTCGAATCCCAGGAGCTCCACTTCCCTTCCAGCTCCCTGCTGTGGCCTGGGAAAGCAGCAGAGGATGGCCCAAAGCCTTGGGACCCTGTACCGTGTGGGAGATTCAGAGGAGGCTCCTGGCTCCTGGCTTTGGATAGGCTCAGCTCCAGTTGTTGTGATCACTTGGGGAGTGAACCAACAGACAGAAGATCTGTCTCTCCTCTTCTCTGTAAATCTGACTTTCCAAGAAAAAAAAAATGTTTTACAAATATGTGCAGCCTTACACCTACAATTAGGAAACGAAGCCTGCACTCACTCTCCACTCTCCCTGCTCCTGGCCAAGGCCCTCACCGGGGCCAGAAGGACCCTGTTGCCCACCCTTGCTTAGGCTGCTGGCCAGGTCTGGAAGCCACGGCGTGTGCTCAGCTGACCCTGCCCTGGACGCAGGCTGCCACACGCTCTGCCCAGGTACAGCACTGGGATGCCAGAGGCCGGGGGTCTGGTAGAGGAGCGAGGGCTCAGGGCTGTCCTGCAGAAGGGGACAGGGCCAGGAAGCAGGTGGTGCTGAGACAGGTGGAGTGGCCCATGGGTGGATGTGGTGAGGCTGTGAGGCTGCTTGGACCTAGATCTGACTTCATAAGTTGTGACCTTGAACCTGAGGCCTGCTGACGACCTGGCTTCTCCAGTGTCAATGGATGGATCACCCCAGGATGTTCTCAGCTGGCCGAGACCTTCGGGGCCTGCAGGGGGACAGCAACAACTCCTGTGGATTCTCCTTGCCCTTGGAACTCCTCCAGATTCAGGAAACTGCCAAGTCCACATTAACCATCTCCTGCTCTCTCCGTCCGCGAGGGTGGCCTGGCTGGGCAATGCATGGACTGCTGCCCAGGGGGCACAGGGACACCTGAGCGCAGCATGGTGTTCTCACAGTTTTGGGGCACAGCAACTTCAGGGATAGGAGCAATTTGAGGACTGCCCCATGAACGCACCTCTTCCCACAGCCAAGCCTGCCCGCTGTCAGCTCCAGACTCACCTCCATCCCTCCCAGTGTATTGTCCCAGCTATGCTCTTCAGTCATTGAGTGCCAACGGCCCACCTCGGAACCCCTTCCGCCCCACAGAATGAACACACATCTGTCGTGCAGTTTGCTTGGCACACAAGTCTGGCATCTCTCTTGGCGACGCCCAGCATTTTGCTGTGTTGGATTGCTTTTCTTAAAAACAGAATCTTCATGTCAAGTTCATCCCCTGGATGGTTCTCAAATTGGTTCAGATTGAGTTTGTGCAAAGCACACGGTACTTGGAAGCAAGGATCTGGTTTCCCCTAATAAGGATGTAGCTGTGAAACTCAATTCTTGGGGTTTACAGGACAGATGGTTGGGCAGTGATTCATGCCCGGTGACATCAGGTGGCACCAGGCCAGGACTCAGAACCAAAGTGTGTGTGGTGGCTCCTTCAGGCGAGAGGAACCTAACAGGTGCCAAGCTACGGAGCTGTTAAGTAATCCCTCCTCACCTTCTAAAGGGAAGCCCCCCAGGTGGTACTTCTTTTCTACATCCATTACCGAGCCCCGTGGGGCTGTCGCTGCTGCTTCAGGTTTATTTCCAGTCAATGTCAGACTCTTCTAGAAGCATCTGGAAAAGTCTTCCCAAGTGGAGCGCATTCAGGAAGAACAAACTCCCTGGTTGCTCTGGAAGCGTCTTTTGGTGTTCACATACTATGTTTAATTGCAAGCATCTCTGGTAGGTTGTGAGTTTAACAGCAGCACCCACTGTCCAAAGAGACTGTGTACGCCTCCCGCGAGGCTCCTGGCGACCGGCGTGAGCAGCTGGTGTGGGGCCAGGCAGACAGGTGCAGCCCATCCAGGCCCAAAATGCCAAGTTGTTGTCAGTAGCAGCAGCTGCCCCGTGTTGTTCCCCACAAATGGCAGGTTCCTCTCTGCCTTCTGCACAGTGGCTCCTAGGTGCCAGAGGTCATGGCACTGTCCCAGCACAGCACGGCCAGGGACCCAGGGATGGAAGGAGGATTTACTGCAGCCCCACGCCAGTCTGGCTCCTCTCACGACCTCCCCCCGCAGCGGACTCCATCCCCGCCTCCCATAGCTTTCATTTCATCCCCAACCTCAAACACTGCCAGCAAGAACCTGAGCATTGGCCAGGTTTCTCACAAAGGCCCCGTGCATCTTCCAGGCAAGCATGCATGTTCTTCTGGCGCTTTCCATAGCACATCACTAAGAGCCAAAGGATACCTCGGGAGGCCGCCCGGCACATCTGCAGGGCACAGGTGCATCCGAGGCAGCCCCATCTTCAAGCCCAATAGGCAGCAGAAAGGCATGCTGGGAAAGCATCGCCTAGTCGGTGGTGCTAAGCTGTGCTTTTGTAAGTGAAACCTTTTCCCTCGCATGTCACATCCAATGACATCTGAGATGAAACACAGAAGCCCCAGTTCAGAGCCAGGACTGCACACCCGGTGTGTGTCTCTGCTGAAGGGGACCCCTCCTCCCCTCCGCCCGCCACTGGCACCGGGACGAGGACACACACGCCAAGCCTGCGGCAGGCAGCCCGGAGTTTCAGCGCAGCCTGGGGCACCGGCTGACCCCCTGTGTGCAGCAGCCCACACCGGCAGGATGAGACATGAGTGATCCCGCCCAGATGCCTTCTGAAGCTTTAGTGCAGACCGGGCACGGGCGGCGCCGAGCATCCCAGGGCAGAATCCCCTCCTCTCACTGTGTGCCCTCACCTGCCGTGGCTCTCGGGAGACACATGGGAGGGTCTGGCCGTGGGCCAGGGCAGGAGGGCACACCCTGGGTGTGAGCAGAACAGGAAGCTGGGTCCTACAGAAGCTGCCGTGAGCCCAGAACATGCTCCTGCTGCCGGAGGGGCTCCTGGGTGTGTCGGCAGGAACTGTCCCATCCGCGTCTTTCCAGCTCATCTCAACAGCGATGCGCGCTGAACTTGGCACACCCACGAGGAAAGGGAGATCTGCTCAGATACCCACCTTACAAACACCAGGTCGTAGCAGCCCCCACCCACCTTTGGTGCGGAAAAGGCCTTGAGTAAACACAGCAAGAGGGATGCCCCCAGCTGGGGCTGCCGCTGCCTACTGGCCAAAGGGAGAATGCCCACAGGACAGCAGACAAGAGCTAGAGCTGAGCCCGGGGGGGGGGGCGAGCTTTGGGGGCTTCTGTGCAGAGACCCCTGGGCGTCAGGCATGGAAGCCCAAGCTCCCCCAAGGTCCCAGTGAACCCTGCACGTTCCCCCTCCCGGTAAGCAGGTTGGAGGCATGGGCAGGCAGCCAGCCGTTTGCCGTTTCCCCAGAGACCAGCAACCAACCCGCTTCCAGATCCCAAGTGATTCACCAAAACCTACAACCCAGTTCATGTTTTTCTCACAGAAATATTTCTGGTTAATTCTAAGTAGGTGTGTGTGTCTGGAAGCGACTGGCCCGGCCTTGGAATTCTCTGGGTCCCCATGCGGGCTGGCACCCCACCTCTCTGAGGGCATTCTCTGGGCAGCGGCTGCAGCCAGCCTGCTGCTCATCCCACCCGGGCACAGAGGAAGTGTGCTTCTCCACCAGCTACACCGCAAAGAATGCTGGGTACCGCGGGGGTTATTTCCTCCTATGCCCCACAGGCCTTCGTCCTTGGAGGGGTGTGTGGGCTGCTGGCGGGGAGCGCCGACCCTCGCGTACCTGTCGCCACATCCCACCCCCCTGGACCACTGTGAAGCAGGCAGGCCGAGTCTGGCACAAAGGCAGCTCCAGTGCCAGGAGCACGGAAGCTTCCTGCAGGCTGACGGGTCACACACGATACCTGCTCATCTTTCCAGAAATCAGAGAGAGAGAGAAAGAGAGAGAGAGAGACAGAGGAAATAGTCAAGGCTTTGATTTTTTGGTTTGTTTTGGCTTTTTGGTGACACACCTGGACCATTTGGCATAACCAACCCTATAAAGCCTGAAGCCCAATTCACTCTGTTTTGGTTTAGAAGGTTTTTTTTTTCTTTTTCTTTTATTATTATATTTTTTCCCTTGGAAGTAGGAAAGATGAATCGAAAGCTTTAAAAAAATCAAGAATCAAAATACAGTTGACTCTGGAAGGCAGCAGGGGTAGACTGAGAGTCAAGGGCCGCGCACAGAGCAGGAAGCCCTCCCTGCCCGCGTGCTGGGCCCGTGGCCCACGGCGTGGACATCCCGGAGCCACGCAGTCCAAGGCCGCTCTGGGCCAGGGCACCTCATTTCCAGCGATGCCTGACGAGCGAGGATTCGTCGTTGACCACCTCGGGATCGCGGGCCCCCTGGCGACAGCGCAGCGGCAGCAGCAGCAGGGCGATGAGGGTGAGCAGGATGGCCCCGCACACGCTCATGAGCGCGTACGAGATGAGCCACAGGGTGGGCTCCGGCAGGGCTGGGGCCGGGACGCAGCTGCTGGCCAAGTCGTCCGTCGAGAAAGGCCCGGAGATCTCGGACACCGGGGCACCTGCGACTTCTGAGGAGACACAAGGGGGCAGGATGCTCAGCTGGGCCGGGAGCCATCCACCTGCAGCCTCCCCAGGGACCGGATGGCCACAGAACAGCAGACAGCAGACCCTGGGACCAGGATGGCCCAGGGCTCTGGAAACTCCAGCCAGAGCCAGGAGCCGGCCACCTGCAGCCTCAGGCACAGACAGCCTGGAGCTCCAAACCCCAGCTAGAGTCACTGAAGGAGTGTGCACGGCTGGAGGTCTCAGGCTGCTGTCTTCAGCGATCTAGACCCCCAAACAACGTGGTGCTCAGTATGTGGGTAATGCACAGCAGGGCCTGCCAGGGAGCACCCAAGGCTCCCCAGGAGGCTGTCTGGGGGCACACAGGATGGGGGTGTCGGGCAGGGCCTGCTGGCCCTGCTGTGTGGGCTGCAGTTCCTCAGGGCAGGGGATGAAGGCACAAGGGCTGGCTCCTGCAGGAGCGGCCATGCACCCGCCTGGCTCAGGCCAAGGTCACATTCCACAGATGATTCCACCGCAGGCAGGGTCCTCCTCCAGCCGGACCCACATGCGGAGTTCAGGAAGAGGGGCCCAGAAGACCCTTCCCTGCCCCCGTGTGTCCCACGCAGAACCAGCAGTGATGCCTAAATGCCACGTCTCATGTGTGACATTAGTAGTGACAAAGACACACCCTGTCTGACCCTGGAAGCCCTCTCGCCAGTGAGGGAGCTAAGATGGACTCTTCCAGGCAGGTCTGGGGGCGACCCCCCTCAAGCAGGTCTGGGGGCGACCCGTGGCTCCTCTTGTCCCGGCCTCACTTTCTTCCTTGTCTAACTTCCAAGGGAAACGCACTGGGTCCAAAAACCATAACTAAGATCACGAAGCACTCGAATGTTTTGGACCTAAAGCCAAAAGATCGCACCACCTGCCCAACCAGGCCCTCTTGACTACGCAAAGATAAAACAACGGTGGAATTAACAGCCGCAAAGAACGGCTTCCACGTGAAGGGAAATGGGAGGGGGTGGCCACGGGGCTGATTCCCTGGGCATGTGGCTTTTCTCAGAGCTCCTGCGGAGGGCAGCCCCAGCAGGAGCCGCCCGCACTGGGAACACGAGGACGCTGGCCTCACTGAAGCGGCATCCCCAAGCAGGCAGTGCCATGGTCAGCAAATGGAACACTTCCGCCGGTCAGCACTTTCTGGAAGCCACGATTTCCTGGCATGCAGCCACCTTCATGCATTCACAGGTGGTTATTGCTGGGGTCCGTGTGATGGGTGTGGAAGACAGGAAGGTGTGAAGAGTATTGTTCTGTTGCAGGCAGGGCCGCAAGGAATGTCCCGTTGCATGGCAGGGCCGGGGACGTCTCTACAACCACCTGAATGCACCTCCGCCTCCCTTCGCATGGACACCGGACGACCCCGCTGAGAATTCTGTAATCTATTTAGGCATTGTCTGCCTCTGTGGAGTTAATGTTTACTGCCAGTGTGAGCTTGGAAGTTGATGTTGCTGATACTGTTTTAGCCAAAGGCCTTTCATTATTGCTGCCCCCATTGATCATATACTAATCAAGGGTGTAAAGTCCCCAGGTGTAGTGGGAATCTATTCTTTCCCTCTTTCTTTGATCTTTAGGTCCTTCCTTCTGTGATGCACTTCCTCCCTTAACTGATTCTAGACTAAGCTGCAGAATGAGGATTGTAGTAGGAATGTGTTACTGATTGATATGCACCATCTATTGAACTTCCTAATCAGGGCGCCAGGATGGATAACATCCTGCTTTAGATGAAACAAAGGGCAGAATTGCCCTTGGAAACACCCACTTGACCATGACGTAAAGTCTGAGCCAGAGTTTGACTGGTTCCGTATAAAGTGGACAGCTTTCCTGCATTGTCCACAATGATCATGGAATCCTAGTAGTCCATCTCTCTCTTTCTCTGCGCCTCATCCACGCCCCCTTCTCGAGTTCCGAACTCCGCTGGAGCTGGACTCCGGCAGGTTGTGGTGACTTCTAAGCTGTGGCAGGGGCGGGATGGAGTCCGGGCTGCCCGCTGGCAGAGCCCTGAACCATGGTTGCTGGTACCCGGCAGAAGGGCTCACTTCTCAGAATCCTCAACGATCACCCCCTCTGCTGCTTGGCACAAGGGGCTCCGTGCTGCCCAGAGAACCAGGAACCCGCACAGCAGCTCACCAGCAAGCTGGCGCTGCGCCTGGGCGTGGTCCTGCTCTGTCGTCAGCATAGTAAGTAGGTGCCATGCTTGTCCCTGAGCGTTCTGCCATGGGGGACAGTAATCTTCATGGCACTTGGCTGTCAGCTGTGCTATATATACGTATTTTAAATTAGGCAGATTTACAGAGAGGAGAGACAGAGAGAAAGATCTTCCATCTGCTGGTTCACTCCTCAAATGGCTGCAATGGCAGAGCTGAGTCCATCCAAAGCCAGGAGTTTCTTCCAGTTCTCCATGGGTATGGGGCCCAAGGCTTTTGGCCATCCTCTACTGCTTCCCCGGGTGCTGGATTGAAGTGGAGCAGCTGGGACACAAAGCAGTGCCTATACGGGATATAGGTGCCGTAGGTGGAGGACTGGCCAGGTGAGCCACTGCGGCGGCCCCATCAGCTCAACTATTTTTATGATGAAAACAAAGCAGGCTATGGCCATGTGTGAGGTGTCCCTCGGCGTCCCCTCTGTGGCCATTCAGGCAGCTTCTAATCTTTCCCCCACCATCCCCCCCAGTGGAAGCAGCAGCTTTGTCTCCCCACAGCAGCTGTGCATGACTGGAGGGACGGTCCTTAGCCCGTGGGTTGTAAGGTCTCCAGCCCTCCAGCTATGAGCCGGGCGCTGCTGGGCCACATGCTGGCCATGTGCACTCCCTCTCTGATGGCCACCTCTTGCTCAGGGGTGCGGAAGGCTCCCTGGGATGGCACACACCTGCCCCTTGTCGCAAACATCTTCCCACAGCAGGCTGCTTTTCATTCTGCACAAGGTAAAGTTTTAACCAAGATGGTGTGGGGCTCAGGGGGCACGCAGGTGGAGCTGAGAAGACGGCAGCCCCAATGCACAAAGTGCAGGCAACCACCCAGGATGTCAATCTTCTCGCCCGGAACAACTAAAGTGTTGCACAGGAAAATCTGTTTATGCTTTAAGTCCTCCGGCTTTCAGCAGTGTGTCGTCTACTGCCGTTAAGACGATGACGTTTGTCTCTGGAGTGTTGTTAGGCCTTCCTTGGTCCTACTCGATGTGTATACAGTAACTGTCCTGATACTTAGCTATGAGAAGTCAGGCGCGGTGTTACCAAGCTGGTGGAAGTCAGGCAGAGGGGGACGCCAGCGCCCCCGTGAGCCTGCAGGGACACAGAGCGGGCACTGTGCCTCAGGGCTCGGCATCCAGAGTCCCCCGCTGGTGGCGGAGAAGACTGTGTGGGCCCTGAATGCAAAAGGCCGTTTTGAACCATAAACACTGTGTCTTCCATTTCTGGAGGCCAAGTTCAAGGCACCAGCGGATTCCGTGCCCGGGGACAGTCCCTTCCTGATTCCCACACATCTGTCTGCCATGGTGTCCTCAGGTACCGGGAGAGGTGTGGGGGCTCTCTGGGGTCTCCCTGTGCTAACACACTGGGGTTCAGCTTGCACACGGGCACTCTGGAGGGGTATACACATTTAGCCTGTGATACCAAAGACTACAATTCACAAGTGGGAAGTGGGGTGGGGGCGGGGATGGAGTCCATTGCACCTGAGCAAGGAATGACACATGCTGGCACTGGTGGACAGGGTGTGAAGACAGCCACTGGGCTGGACCCAAGCAGCCAGAGGAATGGGTCCACACACCAAGCTTTTTATGGGTCCCCCACATGGGTGCAGGTGCCCAAAGACCTGGGTCAGCTTTTGCTGCTTTCCCGGGAACATTATCAGGGAGCCAGACTGGATGGGGGACTCCAACTGGAGTCCATATGGGATGCCATGACACCGGCCCACGCGTTAAAATTTTAATTACGTGATTTTTCTGGGTTGTGCCTCAAAAAGTCAAGGCCAGGTGCATAATGAGCGCCTGAGGAAGGTACATCCTTTTACAGAGTGTAAAAATAATAACCGCCAGTTCTCGCGCAAGATCAAGACCAAGTGCTTAGGCTGTGATGCTTTTTTTAGTAGGCGTGGCTTATGTAGACGAATGTTCTGGATTTATGGACGGGGGTCTGCACCGTTTCCTCTGTAGGCACCCTTCAAGCGCTCAGCATCGGGGCCACAGTGGACTCTTCCATAGAGCAGCGATGCCAGCCCGTGGAGGCCCGGCGGTGGCAGCTCTGATTATACGCCCTGTGGGCGGCAGAGGCGAGTCCCCAAAATTCTATTCTTAACACCCAACTTCCCTATTTTTAAATGTGGGCATGTACCAGACGATCTACTTTAAGCCCAAGGCAAGAAAAATTCCCAGCGAAGTGATTGCCACGAGCCACGAGGCATCTCAGGTTGCACAGGCTGCAAGCCACAGAGTTCTGTCTGCAGCCAAACATCTTCAACTCTAAAGAGAGGAAGGGAGGTATTTCGGAACTTGGGCACGCATCCAGAAAGCCAGGACTTGTTGGTTTCAACACTATCCTTTCCCTGCCTACAGGACGCCCGCCCGGGCACCTTGCAGTGCACTCGTCATGTGACACACCCTTGACCCCTGCCTTACCGTCGGACTCTCAGCAGGGGACACGGCAGGTTGAGGAGAGGTAGGGAGGAGTTGGAGGACTTTTCCAAAACACTTCCCCACCTGCTGCCATTCTGGTGGACCCGGCTGGGAAGGGAGCGAAAATGCAGAGCGTGCTTGCTCAGAGAAGGCACTGCAGGGCAAGGCCAGCGCTTCCCCCTGCCCGAGCCCGCAGGCTGAGTCCCCTGGAAGCAGGGCCCGCTGGAGATGAGCTCACAGCAGCAAAGGAGAAGCCAGCAGGAAGCATGCGTGTGTGGAGCAACGAGTAGATGCCACGGCAATGTGAACGCCCTGGGAGCAAAGGACACGGCCACATGTGGTCATGCCAAACCGTGGACACGGC